CGATAGGTCTTAGCAAATGAAGTAAACATTGGGTACGAAGACATGAGCAATCAGCAGGTAAGTTACCTGTCTGTACTTTACAAACTTTTACCTCTCTCCGCCAACGCTGCCCACACTAACAGAAGAAATTGACCTCAGGTTTTGAAGTTAAACGGAACTCAAATAAGGAACATTCATCATTTGGCCTACCTCGTAGATTGTAAGTCATAATGTCCCTTCAAATACTTCCTCTTCACTCTATCACCCCACTCCAGTGTTCACTGTTTTTCTGTGCTCTCAATCAGCATGCAAGGACAAGTACTTAGTCTTCGAGTTTGAAGACAACTACATAACCGTTTTGGAAAGGGAAGCAGCTCTTGCTGCATCATCCTGCATTCTCAAAGATTATGGGATTCCATCCGAAAGATCTTCCGATCTATCGGAGCCCTACGTGGATTCGCTAGGGGACAACCAAGCAGTTGATCAGGAAATTGGCGACAGTCCAGTTTCAAATTTGGAAATCGGGTTCGATGGAATTATTTGGGCATAAATTATCATTGCTTACATCTTGGAGAAGTAGAAGCCATCACTAGAAAACTAGAAAGATGGTGGTTATGATTCGCCGGCCAAGGACGATTTATCGATTGGCTTCTGCCGTAGCGGCGCAGCCGTTACAAGGTGTTCATTTTTGTAACTTCTTAGCAAGTGTGACATTTTTGATAATTTGTATCCATAAGTTGCTTCAGTCAGAGTGGCAATATTTCTTGTAATTGAACTATTTACTGTAACAAAGATAATGAAATGGCATTTATTATATATTTGAAATTCAATTCAATCAAAAAATGATGTTTCAGTATAAATATTGTGATGCTGGTTTTTCAGCATTATATTAGTACGGTGCAAAGTAAGGTAAGGCTGCAGTCGATAGACGTTTCTCCTGACCTTGCAAAGCAAGACGCCTTCAGAGAGAGAAAAAAAAAAAAAAAAAAAAGGAAGGAAAAAAAATGAAAAACAGGATGTTGAGAGTGGGATTTGAACCCACGCCCTTTCGGACCAGAACCTTAATCTGGCGCCTTAGACCAACTCGGCCATCTCAACATTTAATGCAAAGCGTCTGAAAAATTGTTTATATATATTTATTTATTTCCACATACTTGTTGCTTTTGAGATCTTAACGACATTGTTTGATCAAATTTTTTTTAGTATGACAGTTATATTATTACATGATGTCATTAATTTGCATGTATTACATAAGTAGTCTATATATTTGATATGTCATGAACTTATAGTATAATATTAATAGTTACGTCCATGTAAAAGTGACTCTCTATGAACATTGAACTTTATGTTACCTCATGTTTTTTACATAATGTTTTATAATGTTAGACGGAAATTGACGTTTAACTATAAGGTGTCAGAGAGTCCCACTTTTGAAAGAGTACCCCTTAGCATTTCTCATATAACTAATTCATAGACCTAGAGGTGAATGCAAAATGATGTAAAAATAATAATTTAATAACTCATATTACCTATTGAGAGTTAGTTGTATATCTTCTATTCAAATCATGTAATATATATATGTCGTATTTGAAATTATCACTGGTACCACAAAGTAGAGGTATTCATTGAACAACAAAAGGAAGCTGCACTTTCAAAAAGGCGACCATTTTTGCTCACTATTAATAAGTGACGGAGATGTTCACTATCCTATTTATTACCGTTAGATGAGTTTAAATTTCTAAATCTGTGTAGTGAACAAACATAAATCTTAAAATATAAACCTATCCAAGAACAACAAGTAGGACTTGAGGGCTGTGAGCTAAAATCACCCTTAAAAAGGGAGCAAACAAAGAGAACCCACATGATCTGCTAAGCTGTCTGTCAATATGTTTCCAAAATACCACAGCCCATCAGTCTACTTTCTATACACAGATGCTCACTCTTTCTTCATCATCAATAAACCAATTATTATATCTAATATTCTACCTGCTACCGGGATCAAAACATGCTTAATGGTCAGAAAAGCGATCAGAATATTATACACAAAAAACCCAGAGATTTCGACCCACAACAGCAATTGGAATGGAATCAGAACAACAGTCGGTCATCATTGTTTGACCATTAACTGACCCCTTGCTAAGAAATCGAAGTTTGACACCTGAAACTTTTCATTTTATGGTTTGCAACAAATAATTTATGTTCATGTGTCACACTGTAACATACAAGTAAGCATGAGTGATAGGTGTTTATATCGGACTGCAAAAAGGATAGATATGTTTTGGACACATGAACTGAAGACCTACAAATGGTCTGGCTAGAAGTGCGATTATGAAAAAGAGGGTCAAGACAAAAGAGGTAGAGGAAGACCTAAGAAGACTTAGAAAGAGACTTTAAGAAATGATATAGGGTAGTTGGAGCTAACATAAGACTTGGTGCAAAACTAAACGTAGTGGCGTTTTAGGATTTATACAACCGACCCCACTTAGTGGGATAAAATTTGATTGATGATGTAACAAGTAATTTCTGTTTATGTGTCAGACTGTAACATACAAGTATGAATGATACGTATATATGTCACATTACAATTTGCAATGTTCGAAAAACCAATAAACAAAGAGTATGAACTTGTTTGTTTGTAGTCATCACAAGTTACCAACGTAGCATACAACTATGAAAACTGTCATTCACTTACTGCTGCAAAGTCTACGTGACAAGGTTTATAACCCTAATAACAGATCCACGGACCCAGGCTGCAGACTTTAATGGCAAAAAAGATGGACACCTCACCCTCATGCTGTACAGAAAGAAAATAAAAAATCAAGCTTGTCCCTTAGTAAAACATACAGATCTGTAATACCAAAGCCAGCTTTCCAATTATATTTGGCACTTCGTGTTCTGTCCCCACTATGTAATTATTATATAACACTGGAGGTATAATCACATAGTAAGTATATATAATCAGTTTACATGTTATAATTTGAACGCATTTTAGTGTTACATTCTAAAATTGAAAAATATCAACCTTCTCGTTCAAAGAGAAACTTGGGTAAGGTGCTCTCACAAGAAACGAGTTTTACTGTATTTCTATACCATCTGATCTTATGTAAATACAATTCATAATGCACACGATCTCACTCTTTGTAAAAGTAACATAACCAATTAATTATTCAGTTACCCAACTAAGTTGATTGTTCTTTTACCACTTAAGACGTTGATTGGTTATACAATGCAACTTTGTTCCATTATCACACAATAATATTTCTCTCCCCACCACCACTCTCTCACTACACCCTTTTAAGCCTTACATTCTCCCCAACTCCTTTTAACTCTTTCTTTCCATCCCCCTCTCTCTCATCCTCCAAAACACATTTATTGAAGCTCCATAGTATTCTTGAGAGCTTGATCAATCATACCTTCATTAATGGCTTCCTTTTGGTCATCATTCTTGGCAATCTTCATAGTTTTCATGGCTTCTGACTCCTCACTAGCCTTACAATCCCAACCAGAAACACAGTTTTCAAGCATATCAGCCGCACCTGCATTTCTTCCAGGTGCTCCTCTCTCTTCCTCTCCAACCCTATCTCCTGATATTTCTCCATTGTTTCCATCTCCTGGTGGTGTGCCTCTCTCTCCCTCTGAGTCTCCTCTCCCCACCATCCCATCGAGCCAGAGTCCGCCGGACCCGGACGTCGATGTTGCTCATGAACCAGACCTGGCTCTTGCTCCATCAGGCTCTCTCCCAGTTTCCCATGCAGTTTCTGTCACTTCATCTCTGCCTATAAATGTAATGTTCTTTCTTGGCTTGCTGGTTTGGTCTGGTGTGTAAGTGTAATGCAGATTTTTGTGATGAATGCGGAGGAAAACCAAAAAAAGGAGAAATGGTGGTGGGGAAATTCAATTATTATAACTAGTGGTTTACACTTTTATGTTTGTAAACTATTTTTCGTTTTAGTGTATTAGTTATTTAGTGTGATGTTTGGTAAATGCAGGTTGGTGGAATTGTTAATTTCATATGGATTGTGATTAGGATAATATTGTATCCAAAAGAGTGTTTGAAAAATAAAAGTTGTAATTTTTGTCATGTATTCTCATGATTCATGTCATTTTAGAGAGATTTTTTAGTGTGCTTGGAACACGAGCACATAAGTTATATGTCATTAAATAAGTGGAGAGACACATAAAATAACTTTCCTCCACTTGTATAATAACATATGGCGTGCCGTCTCGTATTCTGGGTACATTGAAAAATCTCTCCATTCTCTGCCCTTTTGCCTCCCTCTCAAACCATAATTACTTTTTAAATCGTATTGTTAATTATCGTTCTTAAGCAGCACTATCATTGAGAAAAATGATTTCCTCACACCTCTCTTTTTTTTGAAGTTTTAACAAAACATTTCCGGGACTGTTCACTTTTAACGAAAAACCACATTTTTACATTTCCCTGATACTATTCACTACACTTTTATTTATCATTTTTCATTAAAATTAAAGTTTTTTTTTTTTTACTTTCGTTAGTTTTTCCTTATTTATTTTTTTTCTTATGCACATTTTATTATTTAAATCTCTTAATTTTCTTTTATTTATTTAATTTAAATGACAAAAATAAAGAAGAGTATAAAAGAAGTGTGGAAAAATCAATTCCCTAATCATTGCCGTAAATATTCCCTAATCATTGCATTAAATTGTCTCGTTATACTGAATGTTGTCAAAGATATGTTGATAGCCTTGATATTGCATAAATAAAGTTTCAATATGTTATTTATATTGCCGGTATTGTAGATCTACTACAGTAAATAGTGCCATTCAGAAAAAGAGAAATGCTAAGAAAACTTTCTCAAAGTAGAAGTCTTGATAAACGCTGTCGCTTCACAGTTTAACGTCGATTTTATTGTAACATTATAAAACATTGCGTTAAATATATGAGATAGGAGAGAATTCCTGAAAAACCCGACTTTTGAGTCCTCTTTACATTTCTCTTGGAAAAATTACTACCGTAATAGTGATATTTGAGAGTTCTTCCATATATAATTTATATCAGTATTACTTATAAAGACAATAATTCAGTTACAGGCAATGAAATTAACACAAGAACACCACAAAAATGTAAGAACTAATACAAAGAAAACACTTAAGAGAGTTCCTAATTGGGCTAAATGAGAGGGGAAAGGTCCCATTATATATAGACACGTCTACCTAAACTGTGTACTACAAATTATACAAACTGCAAACATGTAAACACACAACATCTAGAGTGCAACAATTGTACCATGAGACCTTGGAGACCTGTTAAACAGCTTCCTCAAAAATGTCCCGGTGAACCTGTTGAACTCGAAGGGACTCGAATTATTCGATGATTCTCCGGCAGTACTCGAATTCTTTGGCGATTCTCTGGCGAAACACTTCTTTCTCAGCTCCACATTCTCCTCTTTGAGCAAATCCACAGCCAAACTCAGCTGTCTTATGACTTCTCTCTTCTCTTCATCTTTCTGCTTCAGTTCGTCCTTCTGAGTTCTGTTCTCTTCCTCGAGCCTCGCTATTGCTTCCCTCAATTTGCTCACCTCGCCTTCGCTAACCCTGCTCAATGCGTTCTCTTTTGTTTCTTCATCAACTCGGGGTTCATCCTCTGGTTCGGGTTCATCAACTTCAGACTCGGAATACTCTTTGAGCGAATCCACAGCTGAACTCAACTGTCTTATGGCCTCTCTCTTTTCTTCATCTTTCTGCTTCAGTTCATCTTTCTGAGTTCTGTTCTCTTCCTCGAGCCTCGCTATCGCTTTCTTCAATTTCCCCACCTCGTCTTCGCTAATCCTGCACAATGCATTCTCTTTTGTTTCTTCATCAACTCGGGGTTCATCCACCGGTTCAGGATCATCAACTTCAGACTCGGAATACTCCTCCTCAGGTTCATCGCAGCAGGTTTCGGAGTGGCTATCGAAGCTCAAATCCACCACACTCATCGCCTTCTCAGACTGGCATTTCGTTGAAGAGAATGGAGACCCTAACGTTGTCAGCAGGCGTGTTCCCGAATCAGACTTCACTTGATCATACCGCTCAGCCAACGAACGGTGAATGCGGTAAAATTCTTCCACCATGCTGATCAGCTGCGGCCGCTTCTTGTAATACATCTCTGCACGCTGAGCAAATGAATCTGCATCTTCCTGAATCAGCTTTAGCATGGCATCCGTCTTGTGCTCTAGCTCTAGCATTGAAAAAAAAAAAATAAACATCCATCAATTTTCTCCTAAAGAAAACATCACCTGGTGAAGTGAATAGTTCACATGAACAAATTGGTAAATGATACAATTTCAATTAGAATTATGTGGGTACATTCATAGATTTACATTAGGTGCTGCGTATGTGTGTTAGGTTAGTTAGTTAAGACGGTGTTCCCTCCCTTGTACCCGAGTTTGCACCTTCTCTCCCCTTAAAATAGGATAGTTTAGGATACAATGTAGGGCTCGGTTGGAGTGCTTTTAAAATGACCGAAAACTTTTTTGGTGAAAACATTTTTGGAATCAATCCTTAGTAAAAGGGCAAGTGAATTTTAAAAAAGCACTTGACTTACTTCAAGTGTTTTTGGAACCCAAAATCTTTTCTCTAAAAACGCTTTCAATCATTTTAAAAGTACTACCAAACAGATTATGTTAAAAAACAAATTTGGTAGATGTTTATGTGCCTCTTAAGGTTCTTTTGGAAATAACCAGATGCAAGTGGGTCCAAAACATGATGAGGCCACAAACATAAGCACAGCACATAAAGTCTACAGAGAAAAATCAATCCTGAAAGGCAAATAGAAAAAACGGAAGTCAACACTTTTCTGTGGAGCACAGTAACAGCACTGAGGACCACAATTAGAATCCACTACTGCACTGTATCTAATCATCAAAACCCTGACTTTACATAAGACCGAAGAACTAGAGCCACATGATGATAAGATATTTACCAAAAGAAAAAAAAAGAAAAATGATGATAAGATATAGTACATCCTCCAGGGTTAATTTCCCCACCCTTATCTCATCTAGTTCCTCCTAGTCAACCATTCCATCATGTGTAAATGGGATAACCCTCCACCCTAGAGCAATTTTTTTTGTTGTGACCGTTACGTGATGTTATTAATTTCAGTGTTTTTAGTTCCTAGTTTACGATTCTATCATGTGTAGGATTAGGATCTCTCCACCCGAGAGACTTTCCTGCGCCCGTTTCATACACCTCTCTTCCTAGTTCCTTTCACGGTGTAAGAAACTAGAGCGGTTACATTATTTTGTTTGAAATCAGAATGTTTGCTAATGGCAGAGTTTATCTTACAAAACCTAGTTTGAGGTTAAACAACTTGTCGATAAGTTCAAAAAATAAGAGTTTACTAAAGGAGATATCATAAACATAGGTCGGCACACAAGTTGATTGATCTAAGAAACACAAAAAAAATAAAGAGTTAAAGACGTTAAATTAAGGGACAAAACAAAATTGCTAAATTCCCATGTGAGCAAAAGTCACCTTTTTGGATTCATATGCACAAGGGTGGGGCTACTTACGCACCCATTTTTAACTCACACACACTTCCTGTTAATTTTTTGTTCTTTGATATTTTTCAATTCATTCGATTCGATGACCGGAAATTGAGAAAGGTGCATGGGAGGTAAAATGAGTCTATGGATACCACCATCCTGTGCACTTTCAATTTCTTTTCTTTTTTTGTTAATTGGGAAAGGAGTAAACAATTTCAATAAGCTGGTCCATGAATCTTAGCATCAAATTTCTCAAATTAGTAGCAGAAATGAAGGAGAACAAACCCACATGTTTTGTTTTGAAAAAACCCCAATTGGGTAATCAATTTCCAATCTCACCAACCATTCTTCCCAACTTTCCTCACTCAAATCTCACAAAAAGTTACAAACTTTATAGGGTCCCCCCACTTCCCCACCTCAATTATTATAAAACTAACCAATCAGAATTTCAAATTTGAGGAGTTTAGAACTGTGTCAACGGTCACAAATAGTACAGTAACAGCTAAAAGAACCCCCAAATCTCGATCTAGAGAAAGCAAAAAGGAAAAGTAGGGATAAAAATTGGTACCAGAGAGAGTGGTTTGAAGCCATGGGGAGCGTTTGGAGATGCTGTGACTGTCGTACAACCACCAGTGTGTCGTCTGCTGCTTCGTCATTTCTTCCGACTTTTCTCACCTTCAAATTCAAAACTTGGTACACTCAGTTTTCACAACTAGCGGTATCTTAAGCCAATCACGCATAAACACATCTTAACTTGTCTGCTTAGCCAAAGACGATTGATTTATAATACCATCACAGTTAAAAGAGAGTTCTTTGAGTTCACCGAAAACCCCAGTAACCAAAAAAACGAAATTTTAATTCGAAAAATTAAAACTTTGACTAACCAATTAACTTAAACAACAGCAGAAACAAAATTTGAAAAAATAAACCCAACTCAAAACATGAAAATCAAACTCAGATAGTGAAATATCAATTTCAAATTCAAAACTTTGCACACTCAGTTTTCACAACTAGCATCTATCTACACCCAAATATTATGTAACGGTATCTTAAGCCAATCACGCATAAATAAGATATTAGTTTGTCCACCTAGCTAAGGTTGATTGATTTATAATACCGCCAAAGTTAAAAGAGAGTTCTTTGAGTTCACCGAAAACCCCAGTAACCCAAAAAAAGGAAATTTTAATTCGAAAAATTAAAACTTTAACTACCCCATTAACTCAAACAACAGCAGAAACAAAATTTGAAAAAATAAACCCAACTCAAAACACGAAAATCAAACTCAGAGAGTGAAATATCACCTTCAAATTCAAAACTTTGCACACTCAGTTTTCACAACTAGCATCTATCTACACCCAAATATTATGTAACGGTATCTAAAACCAATCATGCATAAACACGGTCTTAATTTATCCGCTTAGCTGAGGTCAATTGATTTGTAATACCGCCAAAGTTAAAAGACTGTTCTTTGAGTTCATCCCCCCCAATAACCAAGAAGTGAAATTTTAATTCGACAAATATAAAAAACAAAAATTAAAACTTTAACCACCCCATTAACTCAAACAACAGCAGAAACAAAATTTGGAAAAATAAACCCAACTCAAAACACGAAAATCAAACTCAGAGAGTGAAATATCACCTTCAAATTCAAAACTTTGCACACTCAGTTTTCACAACTAGCATCTATCTACACCCAAATATTATGTAACGGTATCTAAAACCAATCATGCATAAACACGGTCTTAATTTATCCGCTTAGCTGAGGTCGATTGATTTGTAATACCGCCAAAGTTAAAAGACTGTTCTTTGAGTTCATCCCCCCCAATAACCAAGAAGTGAAATTTTAATTCGACAAATATAAAAAACAAAAATTAAAACTTTAACCACCCCATTAACTCAAACAACAGCAGAAACAAAATTTGGAAAAATAAACCCAACTCAAAACACGAAAATCAAACTCAGAGAGTGAAATATCACCTTCAAATTCAAAACTTTGCATACTCAGTTTTCACAACTAGCATCTATCTACACCCAAATATTATGAAACAGTATCTTAAGTCAATCATGCATAAACACAGTCTTAGTTTATCCGCTTAGTAAAGGTCGATTGATTTGTAATACCGCCAAAGTTAAAAGACTGTTCTTTGAGTTCATCCCCAAACCCCCCAAATAACCAAAAAATGAAATTTTAATTCGACAAATATAAAAAACAAAAATCAAACCTTTAACCAACCCATCAACTCAAACCACAGCAGCAACAAAATTTGATAAAAAAACCCAACTCAAAACAATGAAAAATCAAACTCAGACAGTGAAATATTACCTGTGCTTCTGGTTAAATTCCCAAGGAGCTCCTCTCTCTCTCCTCCTCCTCCTCTCTCTCTCTCTCTCTCTCTCTCTCAAATGTGGGCGCGGTGGAGAAGACGGAGATGCAGTTCGAATTTAAATACAACTTCCTCGACCTTCGAAATTATTTGTCACCATATACTCCTCGGATTTTCTTCCTATCCAATCCCGTTCGGACACGTACATGCATGCCCTTTGGTTTTTGGTCTTATTCGGGGAAAATTACAAGATTTCATACCCTAAAAGGCGGACACAAATTTAATATCTTCTCGCAATTACGAAATTGCCGACCTTTTGTCTTTTACTTTCATTGATGTTCAAGGGCATTTTGGGAATTTGAGGGTTTTGTGAAGATTTGACCGTGTAAAATATAAATCCTAGGTGGAGTTTGAGTGTATCAAGGGTGGGGGAGCGTGGTGTGGGCCCCAACAGCAGCAGAAGAATATGATTGTAAAGAGGGAAGTGTAACGGTCCTCTGTATGAGAATCCACCATGGTTACATATGCTTCTTTATTTGCATACACTTCTATATTTATCGTAGGATTCTTTTTCCTTTAAATTTTTCTTTTTTTATATTTATTTTGCAATTAATTTATGTCAACATCTTGTGTTGACTTTTTTATTAAAAAGAGAAGGACAGGAAAGTATGAAAGGAGAGGAGAGAATTCGTTTGGATTCTACGAGGACAAAAAAATTTGTTTTATCACTAGTTGTATGAGTGTGGTTTATTTATGTCTCACACAAAATGTGATAAAAGATATAAACACGTGATTGTGTATAACCAATACATCTGAGAATTTTTTACGTGAATGGTTATTTTTAAAATTTACGTTAGTTGTTCGATAAATGAAAGCTAATCATAACACATGGATGAAGCAAGCCCATCGAGACATTCGTCTTGATTTTTAAGTTCGATTCCCAAACAACTCTAAAAAGGTCGCTCTTTAGGCTTAAGTCATGGTTTTAACCATTGCATGAGTTGTGAGGTCAATTTGTGTGATTAGGGTTTCATAATCTTTTCTTTTTGTGTATACTAATTAACTTTGAAGTTGCTCAAGAGTGCTGAGTTTGAGAGGGGACGATGAGTTTTTTGTTTCTTCAAGAGTGCTGAGTTTGAAGTTGCTCATGAAGTAAACTTTGCACATGTGTTTACTTCATGAGTTTTTTGTTTCTTCAAATTAGTCCTAATTATTAGCCAATGATGGTGTACTACAAGGGAATGTCAACTTTGCACATGAATCCACAGTTTGGGAACCAAATATTTGACCAAAAGATAAGTCCAAACTTAGGGGAAAAAAAGGCCAAACTTTTAATTGTCTTCCTTATATAAGAGATCTCCAAGATTAATTTAGATATCAAACAGTCATACAAGGATATGGTTTGTATTATTTTATATATACGTTTGGAGATTCTTGATACTTTTCTTTTGTATTTTGATTACAGGAGCAACAAAATCTACGATGATGGAAAAGTATCGAAACGATGAAGTTTATTGAGTAGTTTCAATTGGGGTGGATTTTGAAGACATTAAAGTTTATTATGTTCAAATATCGCCCTTAAATTTGAAGCCGTTTGATCATGGAGATTAAAAAGTATAAGTACACTAAATAAAATTGACATTTCGGGATTATTTGACCAATAAGTTATTGAAGATGCCTTTCTCGGAAAACCCTCCTTCTACAACTTTGTAAATGACGTCCTAAGCTTTCCATTGGTTTCTCATAGGACCGATTTTATGCAGATTTGGCCAGTAAAGGAAATAATCTTTGCAGATTTGACTATTTTATTGTTTACAAAATTATCTTTAAGTTTTGACGATTGAATAGGACTATTTTTTTACTGGTTATTTAAGTAGCTTGTTCTTAAGAAAATTTAAACAAGAAAAAAAAATCCTAATATTGAAATTGCATGCGAAAATTGTTCATCAACCCTATGAGATCAAGAACAAACATGATGACCCTCTAAGTTTTCCAAAGAACTCAGAGGGAACTGATAACTATGTAGCACGTAATTTATTTTCAACGAAAAGAGAGATAGACATGCATGATCATCTAAGCTTGAACTAATGATCAAGACCACTTGGCACAATCCTCAGGAATAAACTTGAGCAGTGCATTGTTAAGGTCATATATAAATCTGTAATTTGCTTGCTGCAATGATCCTAATATAGTACGAACTGTATTTTCCACCATCGCCAAACACAAAATACTGCTCCCATCTCGATCCTCCAGCGTTACGAACGCCTCGTCCTTCAACTCAAGGTCAGCACCCTCAAAGTGAAATGTAACAGCAGGGAGGGGAACCATCGGCGGCGCCCATCTATAACAAAGCTCGAACGCGGGACTAATGGGGCCAAGGTGCCTAACATAGTTTGGATATCTCATATAAAACATTTCCAGGAATTTTACCAATGCCTTAAAAGCTGGGGTGATGAGATAAGTAACTGAACTGCCATTGTCCATAAGGCAGCCTCCTTGATAACCCCCGGATCGTAGAGCAAACACCGATGGATCGATCAGGAGCTTCTGTCCATTCACACTAATGGCTTTCAAGTTCACGTAGTAATAGGGTATATCTGGAATGAGGACTAAATTCGTGACGCGTAGGCCGCTGAATGGTTCGACTATGTCTCCGCCAAATCTGAGATATGTTTGAATCTCTCGGTTGTGTGATAGACAGTAGGAGAATTTTCCTTGAATACGATGGGATATTTGCAATGGAAAGGAATAAGGAGAATATCCCAATCCCATAAATCCGGCTATCTTGAAGTCTTCCTGGCTGCCGAAGTCTACGTTCCTTACGTCATGTGCACAACCAAACACTATGTCTTCGATAGGCAGGGGCCGCCCTTTGTTTGACAAAAACGTGAAAGTTTCTTCTGCAACGAGCGAACAATCGTCATGTTACATGTCACATTAGTTGTCGAAAACTAATTATAAATCTCATGAACGACAACTGTTTAGTTAAATGAATAACAAGTGTAGGAAAAAAGTGAGAGTAGTCATGCCTGCAAGAATGGAATTAATATGGGTGCCGCCCACGTAACCTGCGGCTTCAGAGCAGTGATCGCCAATACACAGGTTTGGTGTGCAAAAGCGGTGTTTGTTGCAAGGGAGAGGCTTATAAGATTGAGATTCGCCGTTAGGGAAAGGGGGCTCCCTGGTTTTAAAGCATCTCGGAGGCTTCTGCTTTTCGCAATCCGCGCAGAGTACCCAGGTGAGGGCGCTCCCAGTGTCCATGTACAAGTAGTATGATTTGAATGGTCTCTCCGGGAACTTCGCGTCTGGGAAAGTGCCAAGGCCTACTGCTACAATGTAAGTGGCGATAGGGTAATACTCGACTTGTGGACGAATAAACTCATCATAAGGACGGTTCTTTGCAGTTTGTGACATGTTATTGCTTAGGGTTAGGGCTGATGCAATGGTAGCATCGATGTGCCGCATTCGCGCATCCGATCGCTGTAAGAGTCGTTGCATTTCTTCTTGGAAGGAAATGTTGCCGGGGTAAAGAGGCGATGCTGGTGAAAAGATGTGCATGAGTTCGACGCTAAAGCCATTTGGTTTGGCTGATACTGCAATGGCAGCACCCCACAGTAGTGACAGCAGCAAGAACAAACTAGTTGATAGTTTGTAAACTAAAGCCAGTGCTGTCATGATCTGCTAGACGAAGGTTGCTCTTGCTGCTTCAAATGCAGTGTGCCTTGGAATTGGATCAAAGGTTGCTCTTGCTGCTTTATAGTTGATAGTATATGATATATTTGGCATGAAATTATTATTTATTTGATGAATTTAATTTACATTTTTATGAAAAAAATTTGAATTGGTGAATGAGGCAAACGATGAACCGTTAGATGCATGAATATTGCATATCGTATTTGATGGAATATTAGTGGCTTTGAAATTTTATTTAGTCGTTACAATTATTAGCCAATCCCATATTTATTTCGGATTTTCAGTTACATATTTATTTCGCATTTTCGAGGTGATTATCTTTGTTTTAGTATTGGGAAGTGTAGCGGGACAAGTGACACCACTTTTTTTCACAACTTTTGACACAGTTTTTGTGATTTCTTTCTGTCATGTATTTCAACAATCCGTATTGTTTATCTTTTACGTCTCCCATCAAATATTATATCTACCAAAAATTGCACAAATATGAAACTATATAACCGTTAGATTAAGGGTTTCAAGTTTCTTTGTATAATCGTATTCGTCCATTACAGATTGGCCCACAAAAAATGTGTCAAAAGTTATGTTAAAAAAGTGATGCCACGAATTAGCCCCCATAAACATAATATTGATATATGTGTAGCTAAGTATATCAACACTAATGAAGATTTTAGATACCCTAAACTTTAGCTAAATATTGTGTATTCAATGTAAATTGATTTGTATATGATTTCTATCCTAGTTAGGCCTTGATGTAATTCTACTTTAAATATATGAAGGGATGAATTTGTGCAATTTTTTTTTCTTGTTTTTTGTTTTTAACTTTTGGTCAAGGTGCAAATTTATAGTGCAGATGTGAGTTAAGCTAATTTGGTCAAAAATCTTAATTCGATTCGTCATTGATACGAATGTTAACTTTCAATTCATTCCAAAAAAAAAAAAAAATATATATATATATATATATATATGAGTTAGGTATTGACGGTTTGTGTCCCCTTTGCACCGAAATTCAAACCTCTCTCAATCAATTATGGTATTTTAGATTATCATATCGAAACAAAAACCCTTCACTTTATAACTTAAAAGTTGAAATATTAAACACAATATAAAGATTAAAGTTGTAATGACTTCTTTGAGATGAAAAGAGAAAAAACCAGAGAGGCCTTCACTTCAAGGCAAATGTATTGGGCAAGCAAAGTGTTGTAAAATGAGGCCCTTCACCCAAGCGAGGCACAAGGTAGGACTTGGTTTTCTTGCCTTGGACACTTAACTAGGTCTGGTAATTTCTTACACGATCAATTATCCGACACAAAAATAACGAATTTTGAGTTCACCAGTTAATGAGTCGGGTCGTTATTGGATAACCCGTTAAGAACCCGTTACATGTTGAATTGTTATCAGATCACCAATTAAAAATCCAATAAGATTTCGTTTGCTAAGCCTATACATTAGGCATAACAATTTCTTGCATAACCTGTTAACCCGACACAAAACGGCGCAACCCGTTAATGAATTAGGTTGTAACTGGATCACCTGTTAAGAACCCATTAAGATACTAGGTTTGACAAGACACTACCCATATGACATGAAAACGACACAAACACGATAAACACAACCCGTTTGACAGGCCTCCACTTAACCCAAGTGAGCCCTATCCTAGATTCGCGGGATAGGAATACAGAGAATGGTGTCCCATCTCTTCTTTGAACCTGTTATACAAACTCCCACAAAAACAGAAAGAGAGGAGTCCATCATATTCTAGTTCAAAGGAAACAGATGTTTAAGCCATAATTTAACCCCGAAAGACTTTGCAAGAACACGAAAAAGAAAACAAATAAAAAGAAGGAAAAAAGAAAAATGTTTTGATTTAGGTACAAACTACTGTGAGTCCAAGCATTATGACTCTGGATTGCAACCTGCTTGTCGATCATTCGCAAGCAATCTTGGTGTCGAAGCTGCTAAGGCAAATGGCAAATGCCTGGAAGGCTGAGATTGGATACCGATAATCCATGGTGAATACATCCTTACCCACTTTTCCAAACTGAAGGATGACATTTTCATGCTCCTGGCCCGCAGCAACTCCATTTTCCGGAGAAGCAACCAGCTGAAAATTTTTTACTGAGGCAACTGTTACTCGTCCATTGAAGTTGAGACACCAGCACTGGAGTTGTTCGTGCCACCTAGGGGCCTTGTTTCTCAATACTAGCATGCCTTCATTCTCACCAGACTCTAGCGGAGATGAGAAATTCTTTGTGCGGGTTGATGTTGATCTGGAAAATGGGATGGATGGAAAACTATCCGGGCTGCCATGCAGAAATTCAGTCTGTGTGGGTGCCACACCTCCTGGCTCAACAGCACGGGCAGGGATGGAATCCATTACACACTGCATTCTCCTCGGACCTCTGATATTGACAGTATTTACATAAAATGTTACTCACATAAAAACTCCCAAAGAAAAAGGAAAGTTATGTGAAATAATAATCTTAATGCTTTTGGTAAATTGTCTTCAACGTTAATTTCATTTGAAGGCAAGACCATGAAGTTTCAAAAAGAAGTTTCTCGTACCTGGAACCCAAGACGTTCAACTCATAAGCAATATGGGCCACAGGATAGTTGCCAGCAGGAACTCTGGGGGAGACTTTATTCACAAGCCTGGTTGAACGACATTTGGTGACTTTGGCTCCACTATTAGTAGGTTGCGCATCATAGATTGTGAATTTAGTGCCCAGAAAATTTGATCTGTTAAAGGAAAATGGGACGATCATCTTAGGGCTAAAAGTTGACCAAGAAATAGTCATGTTACAGGCCTGATGAACATACCTGAGCTTTCCAACAAAGGCACTGTTCCCTTTTGACACATCTTCAGAGTTCAAAGAGATGGTATAGTCTGTGCAGGTTGGGCGTCTACATTTTTTTGCCGCAAGAAGAAACTTCCCATCATCAGTTGAGGCTGGCAAGTACAAAAGCTAAAACAATTAATATTTACATCCGAAAAGAAGACTTTAGAAAACCCAATCTTGTTTTCTATGTTTTAGCAAGTAAATTGCTATTGCCCCATTACTTAATGAAACCCGAAATCAAAACCTTATCAACCTTTAACCATGAGCATCATAGACAACCAAATAAAAGAAAATCTTGACAAGCACATTCACACAGGACAAAATATTCAGTAATTACCTTGACTTAAACCCAGAAAAAGATAATATGTCTGGTTGCTACGACATCGCTTTATATAACACTGCAGAAGGGAGTTCCTTGGACCAGGCTGCAAAATGTAAACAAAGATTTCAACTGTTATTTCAATGGAGAAGGGGCGGATACGTCCATCACAAGAATGTCTTGGTCTTTGGAAAACTTTCAAATCAGTCCAAAATGTTACACCGCATTAACACTTGAGCCAGTGCGTTGCAGCTTATCCTATATATTCCAACTTCTGATTTGGTCCTTCAAAATTATTGAGATCACAAAAACGTGAGCATTATAACCATTACTGTACTCATACTAGCATACACAGCTATCCATCATGATTCATGAATACACATTTACCAGCTAGCATCGTCACGTATGATATAAGGATATTTTCCTTACTGTGAAAATCAATTCTATGTTATACCAAGAAACATACTACAGTAAAATAAATACATTATGAAGAACAATTGGAAAACAACAAGAATCTTTATTAGGAAGGATATGGGCCAGTCCAGAAACCTGCTTCAAAGAGATTGGAAATGTCAGCTTGCCCGAAACTTCTGGGGATTTCACAATCTCTTTCATGATTTCTCTCCAATTCCTGCAAACACCAGCACAGCAGACCACATTTTTCCTCGGAGGCCATGTATCATCAGACGCCTCTATTCTCATCAACACGTCCCTCAAAAGCTCCGGCGGCATGTTTGCCCAACAACTCTGCTTCAAAGCATTAATCCTGAAGGAGGTATCCTGAACCACCCGCTGAGACCTCGATCTCATTCCAAATTTAACATCAAAGCTTTTCCTCGAAATGCTCCCCAACTCACCTTTCATATCTTGAATCATACTCTTAAAAGACATCGCTGCGTCCTGTATCCTTGCCTTCGCAAAACTCAAAAACCGCAAAACTTTCTACAAATCCTCCAACCTCTCCAGGTTATCCCATATTCATCACAAAAAAACACGAACTTCACGCCGAAATACAAATTACTCAAGCCTAAGAAACAAAACCCAGAAGCTTAAACTGCCAAAGTCCTATACTTTCAGTCAAAGCGGCCAATCATTAACAGTTCAATACAAAATATCAACTCTCCAATACCTCCAATGATATATCAATCAGTATAATTCACCACAAAATGTTACATCCACACTCCAATCATCCCAAGTTCTTATCTTCAGCCACTGATACACTGTTTATAGATCTAGATAACCAGATTCAACCCACACACACACACACACACACACACACACACACACATATATATATATATATATATATATATATATCACTGATAAATCCAATAACTGAAAAGAACCAGTACAGATCAACTACAATAAACCGCCAAATCGAATCAAAATTTGATATTTTCCCACAGATCTTTCTTTTCAACAGTTACAAAATCACCCTAAGGGAAATTGAAAGTCTAACACTTCTGATAACCCATTAAAGCTTCACACTTTCAAAGAGATTGAGCCAGACAAGCCTCAGAAACCTGCTTACCCGGACCAGATTTTTGTCAGGGACCGAAACCCATTTGCGAGATAGGTGTGACTTTGGGCGCTGGAGGGTGTAAATTAGGGTTTGGTGATCAGTGTTCTTGTGCCTGGGTGGGTGCTGTCGCTGAGAGACCACAGTGATGGCAGATAGTGGGTTCTGTTCTGTTACCAATACAATCCCTCCTTATCCATATACTTTCTGTTGTCCGGACTCCGATTCGAATTGGGTTCCGAGTTTGGATAGTCCTATATGGATTTGAATAATGCGTTTTGGATAGTCCGAATAGGTTTTGGTTTTTACTAGTTTAGCCCGATCCAACAATGTTGAATATCAAAATGGCATTTGAACAAAATTGACATGATAATGGAATGGAGAGTGGAACATGCAAAAGTCCCCTCTTTGAACTTTGAACACTTTTGCATTTGGTTTTAAATGGTTTAGATTCATTTCGACCGTTAAAAGGTTTTGAGCGCTTAATGGTGTAAAAGTATTGTTGTAATATGAGTAGATACTGATGTACTTTTACTATTTTGGTTTTGGAAATTCGACCGTTTGATAGGAGCATATTCATGCGACTTAAATGACTTGTTCTCGTGCATTTACGTTATGTTTCTCTAGTTATTTTAGTCATTTATGCTTCTTTTGTGTGTTTTCAGGTTCTAAGGGCTTAGGGAGCAAGAATGTGCATTTTGAGGCTATTTGGGGCACTTTTGGGCTTGGATTGGATAGCTTAATCATGGAGCAAAGAGGATGGACGAAATTGAAGCCTTGTATGCTCTTTGGGGACATAAAACAAAGGGCCTAGCCCAATCAAACAAATCCTTTGAGCCATGGAAAACCTCTAGCCCAAATCAAACATTCTATGCCATGCAAACCAACCTATTTTAGGCCCATTCTATGTACTTAAACCCTAGCCCTTTAAACTAGCCATATTATGATTTATTCACTTCCATACTCTTCTTTATTCCACATGCATTCACACACATGCACATCATTCACTCACATTTCCTAGCCATGCATCACTTTAACCCACATTTTCACCCATTTACACACACATGCACTCACATGCATTCACATGCATTTCAAGCACCAAACATTCTTCTTTGCCGTGCATTTCCCTTGCCACTTTCTAGCCATTTCATTTCATCATTACATCACCATTCACACCCCTTTAATCCACATGCATCCACATACTCATTCACTTAATCATTAAGCCACACATTCACACACACACACCCAAAACACATCAAAGCCGTGCATTACTCCTTCACATTCCAAACATTTCCACATGCATTCCTCTTACAATTTCAGCCATTACATATGCATTTCAAACCTTTCAACACCCTTTAATCATTCCCTTTTAAGTTATGATTTTATTTCCTAACCCTACATGTATTATTTATTAGCATATTCACATGCATCACAAAACACCACTCATTGCACATACCTTCCCCCTCTAATTCACATGCAAAAACCATCAACACATGCACCCTTTAATTCATTTAACACATATAATCATTCAACCATGCCGTGGCCTACACACACATGCTTTCCAATCTAGCATTCCCATCATAATTCCACCACCAATTCAGCCACAAAACATCATCATTGCACCACAACATTCCTACTTTGCCGTGGCCCTCATTCCCATTTCCAGCATGCATTCACATGCATTTTCAGCACCTACACATCTCACTCACATGCACATTCACCCCTTTCTCTCCCTATAAAAACCCTTGCATTCATTCATTCAAGGGATCTCATTTTGATACACTTCACACCACACAAACACAACCCTTGTGCCGCAAATCCCCTTCCAATCTGTGCAGTTTTTATCCTCCATTTCAGCCACTATCCAACCACTTCCCATCCCTCCAAAACACTTCACATAATCCCCAAAGCTCACCTTAGACCTTGTGCCACAACAACGAGGAAGAAAAGATTGCCTAAACGTTCATACAATTCAAGTTTGAGTTGTTGGAATGTTTAGGTGTTTCTTTGATTTCAATGTTTGAATTCAATTTTCTTTGTTTTGTAAAGGAAGAGAAGAGTGCCTAAACGTTCATACAATTCAAGTTTGAGTTGTTGGAATGTTTAGTTGTTTCTTTGATTTCAAGGTTATGAGGAACTAAACCCCCTTTAGCTAGGGGGTGATTCGAAACTATGTTTATATTTGCAATATGAATTGATTACTTTTGGTTGGAATTTCATAAGTTGTGGATTCAATTCGTTTAACTGTTTGATTGATAACGTATTTATGTATGTTCATTGAGATTGCAAGCTTAATTTTCATGCATGAATATGACGCTAGAATATAAGTGAGTTTCACCTAATCGTTATGAACTTATATTCACAAGTAGTGGAGGTTGCTTATAAACAATCGCGTTAAACGAATTCTTGGCATAAGTTTCATGCGTATTCCATAGTAACGAATGCCTCGTCAACACTTATAATTTTCATTGAACTTAATGATCTTTGTTGAATGTCTCTATCATGTGTATTCCATAGTTAGGGACTTTGATTAAGAATAATTTGGTTGTAATGCGTATTCCATTCAATCCAATGAATTTAGGGAAATCTGAAAGTTAATTTAAGCGGACCTAATTAACTTGGAGCATTGAGTTTCACAACTTATCGAAAGACCAACTGAGAATCAATATTGTATGCAAGTGTAACATGTGTGGAGAAGAACCCCTTGGCTATTCCATCATCCATATTTTTATCACCTTTGTATTTACGTTTTGCCCTTAATTATAATCTTTCCATTTAATTTAATCTTGCCCAAACACATTTCCCCCATATTTCGTTGAGTCTTAATCATTCGTATTTGTTTTATTTTCGTGTTTTAAGTATTTGGAGTCTTGTGTACTTGTTTTGAATTCTTGTTAAGTAAGTTAAATGTTTTAAAAGTTAGTTTTATTTATTTGAGTCAAGTATTTAGCATCCCTAGTTAATTCCCGGTTAGAACGATCCCTACTTACATCATTACTACAATTGTCACAAATAGGGTTTAATTTGTATGCGTATAATGCTCGTATCAAATTTTGGCGCCGTTGCCGGGGATTGGCAAAGTTGCTAATCCCTTGTCTTGAGTCTTGTTTAAATTGTTTAGTTTCTGTTTTGTTTTGCACCGTGTGTTATGTGTTTTTGTGCCGTGTGTGGCAACTTGTTTTCTTACTTGTGCCAAGTCTATTAAGTTGGTTACTTATCTTGTTTACTTTTGTGTGTAGGTACTAGTTTATGACCCGTAGCTCACAACCTGTTCGTGAGCATATCTCCGACTTTGACAGTGATTTCGAGAAGACTTTGAGAAGGAACAAGAAATTGCAAGAGTCTAATCCTCCTAGTCCCGAACCTGAAGTAGAAGAGGAAGCCACGGATTGGGTTAAAGAGGAAGTACCAACCATGGCCGTGGACAATCGAACCATTAAAGAGCTTTCTGCATCAGGTTTGGCCAATGCAGCCCCTCTTTGCATTCAATACCCCGCGGCTGCCCAAGGCAAGACCGATGAATTTGAACTCAAATCCAGTTTGTTACACCATATTCCGAAGTTCCATGGCTTGTCTATGGAAGACCCCAACAAACACTTGAAGGAGTTCAAGGTGGTTTGTTCGAGCATGACCCCCGTCAATGTGGATGGGAGTATATTGAAGATGAAGGCCTTTCCATTTTCACTTATGGACAAGGCCAAAGATTGGCTCTACGAACTAGCCCCGGGAACTGTGACTTCGTGGGAGAGTATGAAGTATGCTTTCTTGGAGAAATTATTCCCTACTTCGAGAGTGATTCTCCTACGGAAGAAAATTAGTGGTATTCAACAGAATCATGGTGAGACATTCCCGGCTTATTATGAACGCTTCAAGGGCCTTGTAGCTTCATGTCCTCAACATCAAATGAAGGAGGAACTTCTCCTTCAATATTTCTATGAGGGCCTCCTTCCTATCGAACGTCAAATGCTTGATGCATCAGCGGGAGGAGCATTGGTGGACAAAACACCTATGGCAGCCAAGACCCTAATTGCAAACCGTGCTCTAAATGCACAACAATATGAAGGTGTTGGGCAGAGAGACGCCCCACGGCCACATCATGTAAATGAGGTAAGTTCTATTTCCGAATTACAATCCCAAATGGCTAACCTTACATCTATGTTGTCGCAGTTTGTGGAGGGCCCCAAAGCGCAAGGAGCTACAATCTGTGGTGTATGCTCCATTCAAGGGCATCCATCCGAGACATGCCCTCAATTAATTGAGAACGGAGGGTGGGAATCTGCCAATGCCATGGGCTATGGAAATCAAAACCAACCAAGGAATGACCCATATTCTAACACATATAATCCAGGTTGGAGAGATCACCCAAATTTCAGATGGAGAGATGCACAACAACCTGCCCAACAAAGTGGATTCCGACAACCTCCGGGTTTCTTTCCAAGGCCAATGGCACCACAACCACCTCCTCAAGCACAATCATCCCAAACCAACTCAGGTACGTCTATGAATGATGATAAAACATATCAATTATTAACCACAATGGCGCAGGGAATGCAGAACCAAGCAAAGGAGGTGAATGAACTAAAGAAACAAATGGGACAAATGGCCGAATTTTTGGGACAATTTCGTGAGAATGGTAAGTTACCAAGCACTACGGTGGTCAATCCAAAGGATGGCTTCGAATCTGCAAAAGCTATCACCCTAAGGGGTGGAAAAGAAGTTGGGACCGAGCCAAACAATCCCAAATCTGCCCAGAAAATAGATGAAGAGACGACACAACCTGAGGCAGTGTCTAGTTCACCCACGGCAAGGGTGAAAAACCCAATGCCGCAGGCCCCCAATCACCCTAACTCGGCCAAATCAGGTAATTTAAGTTCAAATTCATGTACTTCACGTCCTAATCTGCCCAATGTACCTTTTCCTCGCAGGTTCATGCAAGAAAAAAAG